GGGGTGTTTCCTCTATTATACTTCATGATAGATGCTGTTTAAGCCCCCCCCCCCTCCCAACCCACGCCCCAAAAAATCCGAATGTTCTTATGTCTATCAGTCCATGATGGGTGTGTTCCTCTATTACACTTAATGACAGATGCTGCATTAGCCCCCAACCTCGAAAAAAATTCCTATTGTTAAAATGTCTATCAGTATTGAGCTCCTATTTTATAATAGCCCACCAAAATCTTTAATATCTACCACAATTGACGTAATGTACCCTGGTTCTCCCACCCCTGCCCCAAAGTACCCCCCTCCCCTCACTTACCGGCTCCGACACGCAGAATGATGTGAATCAGCAACACGGCAGTGAAGAAAAGGACCAGATTTCTTTGTGACATTGTAACAGCTAGGTGTCCTATATCAACATTAGGCAATCCGTGTCAGGAGGCTCAGTAAAAATGGAATCCTAAAGTTTAGGGATACAATTAAGGTTCAGGTTAGGTTTAAGGATACATTTACTTAGATGTAGTGACAGAATAAACTGGTCTTGTCAACCAAGATGGCAGCCATTGGGGGGGGGGGGGGGGAATAAATGGCATCTCTTCTTTGAATTTACCGAATAAAGATATAATTAAATATTATTTTATAAATATGTAATAGCTTTTATTGTAAGCTTTCAATTAAGGACAATGTCAACAATTAAAAGAAGACAACAATAGACAATAGCCAGTGATTCGAAGCTAAATACTCTAACCGTTTAGCCTTTTCAACTTTCAATTTGTCAATTACACTCTAAATTCTAAATGTCTAAAAATAGTGAAAATATTTTGCATAATCGTTCAAAGTATTAGTCAATTACTGTTTTATTTGCTTCAAAAAAAAATCAGTTATTGCTTCTTAACTAATTAGCTTATTTATTATATATCTTTTTTCTTAGAAGTAGGTAGTAATAGTAATGAGTTTAAATAATAAGAATAAGAAACAAACTGAAACTGAAACTCCACTTACAGTACTGTCAGTACTTACAGTTACGTTACTTAAATAAAACGAGGCCACTTTGACTCAAACTTACTTCCGACTAGTCCAAAGCATTTCAAAATCGAACACACAAACACGTATTATATTTTGACGTCTGTGAATATAAGTAATCACCCGATTTATATTAGATTCAAGCATGAATTACACACGAAGCACATGATGGCAACTAAATAAATCATAACTAAACTTCTGGGATTCCCGATTTTATTTATTCGGAATCGGGAAAATCCCATCTTAATGGCGTCGTAAATTGGTTTCTATTTTAAATTTTTCTTTCAAATATTACACTTTAATTAATTTTAATAGATAAAATCATAGGTAACTTAAAATTTTACTTTTAAAACGCAAATAATCATTGCATTAAAATATTGTACAATACCGAATTAACTAATTTGAGTGTAATTGAAAAATGTAAATAAATTAATATAACTATGAAGATTAAATTCCAAACAAAATGTTGTAGGTAGTTTAAATGACAGTTCAGTAAATGATATGTAAATATATCTTTTTTTTTTAAAATCCATTTAAGTTGTTGTTGTTGTTGTTTAAACAAAACTGAATTTCAACAATAAAGAATAAGTCTTCAAACCATGACACGTATATTTTTATTTTATAATTTACCAACTATTATATGCATTCAAATAATATTTTTATTTAAAATTCGTTTCTTAAAACGCATCAGTAAAATAGCGACTAATGACAAATTCCAGTCTGGCGTCTGTTAAGAGCAACGGCTGATAAAAATGATTCCAAATCCGATAACTTTAGTCTTGCCTTTTTATTTTTCTATATCACGGGGCACAAGGCCCTTGCCATGCTCAATAATCGCTCTTCGGTGTAGTCATGTAAAGAGAGGCCTTAAAACTGAGAAGTCCCCAACTGGTTCTAACAAGGTTTGTAGATTTTGTAACGGCAATGATTCATAATTCATTTCCAGCTAGTATCTTTAAATTCTTAATTCAGGCGCGGCACCCCCCCCCCCCCCCCCCCCCACCTTTTTTTTTTTTTTTTTTTTTTTTTTTGCTCCGCCCCCCCCCCCCCCCCCCCCCCTTTTTTTTTTTTTTTTTTTTTTTTTTTTTTTTTAAATCCCTGTTTCTTAACACCTAAATACACTGCAATTGTGGGGGAAACCCAAGGATGTGGGAAAAACCCAAGGACATGGAGCAAACCTGAACATTTTATGACGAAATGACATGCTTAGTCTTATCGTCACCCTGCCACTGGGATATTTGACATATTTTGTAGTGAGTCATTGTCGGACATTTTCATACGATAAAATATTTTCAGTTTTCTGGCTTTATCTCAATGCCTATCTTACCCCCTTTTTTTTTCTTTTTTTTTCCCCAAATTCTTTTTAAAATAGTATCGATATTTGAATTTAAAATAAAATTTAAATAAGTGGTTCTCAAACTTTCTAATGCCGCAGCCTTTTAATTCTTGTCCACATGTTGTGACAACCCACAAACCATAAACTTATTTTCCTTGCTGCTACTTAATAAATATGTGTTTTCCCATGGTCTTAAGTGACCACTATGTAAAGGGCGTTCATCCGCTCTCAAAGGGGTCGCGACCCACAGACTGAGAACCGCTGGTCTACACTAATTTCTAGAGCGCAATAAAAAAGACAATATCTTTCTAGCACATATTTCATCATCAGCCTTGTCTGCAGTGTGACAGTCTTCTGTTATCATATCGCCCTCATTATCGTCCCCATCATAACAGGGACCTCTGGTCTTTGTCACATTCCCGCTTCCACCCGTCAGATTTGAATGTTTTTGGTCATCAATAATGCAATTATTTAGAAAGAGGAGCTCTCAACCTGTGGCCCGCAGACCATTTGGGAGTCTTGAAAAATGTGTCAGGGGTCCGTTGACTGCATTTCAGTTTTAATTTTCTTTTTATCCGTTTAAAAACTGTGACGGGCTACGTGACCTTGATCTGACCGGCCGTGGAGCCCATGGAACAAAAATGGTCAGGAACCACTGATTTAGATAAAAGCTTTCCAAACGTGTCATGTTGATGGAACACTTTTTAGACATCAATTAAATCCCGATATAGAGTTGAGTTAGGTGTACGATGTACGATGTACGATGTACGATGTACGATGTACGATGTAAGATGTACGATGTACGATGTACGATGTACGATGTACGATGTACGATGCATGTAATAATTTTTTTTAAAAGTAGCTTGCCCGTGATTGACGCTTATTTTTTTTCCAATTTGAGGTGGTTCCAATGGCATGTTTGTTGTTTCTAAACTCGATTCCAGTAAGTTGAGAAGGGTTATTTTTTATTATTATTATTATTAGTAGTAGTAGTAGTAGAGTAGTAGTAGCAGCAGTAGTAGTAGTAATAGTAGTAGTAGTAGTAGTAGTAGTAGTAGTAGTAGTAGTAGTAGTAGTAGTAGTAGTAGTAGTAGTAGTAGTAGTGTTAGTTTTATATAGCACGTTACCCCAGCCTAGGGTTGGGCTCACCACTTTGTACGTACAATTTAACAAACATAATCATGAACTTAAAAAATTAATTAACATACATTAATTAAATAAAACAAAACAAATGTACTCCACCCCACTCCAGAGGTATTTAAAGACCCAGTTATACAGTGTTAAAAATAAAATGTACACTTTTACGCTGAACAATTTCTTTCCCATCAATTCACGGTCACGTCATCCAATCCACGTTCACTTAGCCAACACCATGACCACCGCAAATCACATGAGAGGGGGTGAGATATAAACCAATCCAATTTCACTTTTCTCTCCGAAAATATTGGGGGGAGGGGGGGGATTTTATGTGGTTTGCATTCCATAAATAAACTTCGGATTAAACTTAACATTTGTGGAACCGCTTACAAGAGATAGAGACACATTACATGAGTTATTGTAATAACTAAAGTCCCACAATGACATACGTATAAAGATGAGTGAGTGGCCGATACAAAATAAACAGCACACTATTATATTGGAATTTTTTTCGAAGCATAGGTGCTAGCTGGTATTTCGCATTTCATATAGACTCAGAGGTTTTTCTGTTAGTTTTACGTGACACGCCGACACACAACATCCGACACACTAACCTATCGTGACACAAAGTTTGGGCAGACATCTGATGTTTTTAAAAGATAATATATGGCAACTGCGCTCAAGCCGTGTAAGGTAAATAAATAGTGGAACAAGATGTGTTTTGGCTTGACAATAAAATACAAGATTTATAAGTGGACGTTTCGGCTAGACGCCTTCTCCAGCAGACGTCACAATAAACAAAAGATAACATTAAATTACAAAAGAAAAAAAAAAACTTTTTATTTTTAATTTTATCCGTTGTTCCTTGTCTTTTTATTTTCAAGCCCTAAACATATTTTGTTCCATTTTAAGGTATTTCTTAATTTTAACTGCCGTGTTTACCCCTCAGTCAATGGTAGTTGAATCAATTGTATATAATTTATTAGTAATGCGAATTAATCATTTATATATTAAAACAGAACAATCATTAGAACAACTATTATTTACATGGGAAAAAAATATTTATTTCTATTTTTATTTTAAAAACGTTTAAATATATATTTACATTATATCACACTATTTACATCAGTAATGATTAAATTCTATTTGGACGACCAGGCGACATGCAAACATCAGCGTTTATGTCATGGTTAAGACTTAATAGTTGTAAAAAAATGTTTCACGATGTTGAGACAGTGTGCTAAGAAAGGAGATGTGGAATGGTCATGTAAGTCATCATTCGGTAAATATCACATGGAGAAGGCCCGTAATGGCCAGGAAGAGGGGCGACACATATTTTAACTTACTAAAGGGGCGAGGTGGTTTAACGTTTAAAGAAAAAAGAAAAATTAAATGTAAAAGCCTGTGGGGGGTGGGAACAGATTTCAAACAACATCAAAGCCTTTCAGAGTCATGTGACCATCGGCTTTGGCTTAGTCGGGGCGCTAGGGTAGTCTTTTTTTTTTTTTTTTTTTTTTTACCATTTCCCCTTTCAGGATATTTAAAGAAACACAAATGAAACATTATAAAGTTGTTGTTTTTTTTTTAGTAACTCCTTTCATATCAAGCCCTCTTCAGCAGACGATACAAAATGAGAAACAACAGATCATAAGTTTAAAATTGAAAATAACAAATTTAAATAATACAAATGTTGTTTTTTGTTTTTTTTTAAACAACAAAAAACAACAAAACACAAGTCAAACAGTCATTTTTAGTTGCGAAAGCGCAAACAATAACTTAAGAGGACAGCCTGCTGTTGCATTCCTGTCCCGGCTGTTGCACACGGATCATCTTGCTTTCCGATGCTGTAATTTTTGATGGAGGTTAATATCTGGTGGAAGAGAGATGGAAAGCTTTACACAGCCGTTGTTGTTGTTGTTGTTTATAAACAATTCATCCCTCTATAATTTGCAGGATGTGTTTCTGATTGGTGAATGAAAGAGTTGTACTGGGTCCATGCTGAATCATATCTTTTTTTTTAATGTATTGAATTAAAACAATATTACAACTAAAAGATTTCTTAAAGCATCCTACATGCACCCACGTCTAAGAAAGACATTTTCCTTTATTACTGATACAATGAACTGAAATAATTTCAGTGTTTTATATTTAAGGAATTGGTGGAGTGTGGTTTTAGCTTAATTTTTGTCGACATATTGTAGAAAATATAGATGGCTTTTTTGTTCTTGTTGTTGTTGTTGCTGTTTTTGTTGCTGTTGTTTATTTATTTGGTTATTTGTTGTTTTGTGTTTTTGTTGTTGTTGTTGTATTTGGTTCATTTCTTTTCTTTAAAACAAAAGTGTGGGGGGGGGGGTGCAGATTGCCTTTCTTGTTTGTCTTCAATTTTTTTTTTCTTTTTAAATTCTTTTTTTCCTGACTTTTAATTTGTAAAATCAATATTTAATGCTCTAAAACAGGCCTGCACAACATACGGCCCGCGGGCCGCATGTGGCCCGCCAGCACCCACTTTGCGGCCCGCGAAGTAACGAATTTTTTAAAAATTATTATTATTTTCTTAATAGCTTTTCCCCATGACCTATATTCTTTTGGCCCGCAGAAGTCTTGTCCTACTTTCTTTTGGCCCGCACAAGTTTTTCATAAAGTAATCAGGCCCGCCTTACATTTTGAGTTGTGCAGGCCTGCTCTAAAATAATAAAAGGCACTTACCATCTTCACCATCTTCACCATCTAACAGGGGCGTTCCTTCATTAATTTCTCCAGGGTCATTACGACCTTGTGCGGAAGCTGTGGCCTCTGCTCCCGGTAACTCGTCGCTTGCTGGACTATCTGCACCGGCACTTCGGTTATTGGTCGGTGAATGTGCTGTGAGCTCCGACTCCCGTGATCCGAGATGTCGGCTTGATTCTCGGTGCTCACTTGGCGGTGTCAGCCGGTTGACGTCGATATCATCAGGTCTTCCCGATTCCAAACTTAATGGATCACCCGTGGCTTTATTCGTGGCACTTTTTATAGTTCTGTGCGAAATTCTTTTGAAACAATCAGAGCTGCTGTTGTATGAAGACTCATCGCCTGTTTGTTCGGCGCGCAAACGATGTTCTTTTAACTCATTCAAAGTGTTCTCGGTGGCGCTGAGAAGTTCCCCGTCACCCAATTGGGCATCACGGTCCCTGTGTCTGTCTAATGAAGTGGTATGAGAGACGGCTTGCTGGTCGGGCGATGTTGTATTCTTGGCTTTTTGTTGGTCGTAGGATGGATTATGAAAGACTTTTTGTTGATCGGGCGATGTTGTATTTTTGGCTTTTTGTTGGTCGTAGGAAGGATTATGAAAGACGGCTTGTTGGTCGGGCGATTTTGTATTTTTGGCTTTTTGTTGGTCGTAGGATGGATTATGAAAGACTTTTTGTTGATCGGGCGATGTTGTATTCTTGGCTTTTTGTTGGTCATATGATGTTGTATTCTTCGGTGTTTGCTCATTACATGATAACGTATCGCTAACAGTTTGTGCGTTACTTGATGGCCTATCAATAGCAATTTGTCCATTACTTGATGGCCTATTAATAGCAATTTGTCCATTACTTGATGGCCTATTAATAGCAATTTGTCCATTAATTGATGGTGTATAATTAGTACTTTGTCCATTACTTGGTGGTGTATAATTTGTAGTTTGTACATCACTTGATGGCGTATCATTAGCCGTTTGTCCATTACTTGATGGTGTATAATTAGTACTTTGTCCATTACTTGATGGCGTATAATTAGTAGTTTGTCCATTACTTGATGGCGTATAATCAGTAGTTTGTCCATTACTTGATGGTATGTAATTAGCAGTTTGTACATCACTTGATGGCGTATCATTAGCAGTTTGTCCATTACTTGATGGCGTATAATTAGCAGTGTGTACAACACTCGATGGCGTATCATTAGCAGTCTGTCCATTATTTGATGGCGTATCAATAGTACTTTGTCCATTATTTGATGGCGTATCAATGGTACTTTGTCCATTATTTGATGGCGTATCATAAGTAGTTTGTACAACACTTGATGGCGTATCATGAGTAGTTTGTACAACACTTGATGGCGTATCATTAGCAGTGTGTACATAACGTGCACAGCAAATAGAGCCGCAGTGAAAACAGCCGTCAACAGCCGAGCCCGGCGTTACAGCCGAGGAGGAAATGCTGTTTACATCACAAGAAATAATTTCTAGCGGCTGTTGGTCTCCGTCTCTTGTCCCAGAGATCCACTTTCGGAAACCTTTTAAGGAAAATACGCAGACAAAAGTCAACAAAGGTTTTTTATGTTAGGATTTTTTTGGGCTTGAGATTTTTTAATTTTTTTTCATACGTTTTATTTATCATTAGCTTTGATTTTTTTATCATCAAAAAACATACTTTTAGAAATAATCATGCTCTTAAGCTCTGAGAAAGGATTATGTTTTGCGGCGAGATTTTTAAAAAAAAAATTATAATAAATCTATACCAAAACATGTTTCAATTCAAATACTGCAATGTTAGAGCTATTTTGGCACTAAGCTGCCGGCTGAGTGACGTAAGCGAGCCACACTACAATGAGGCACCATGGTTGTTGCCATGGCAATGCTGTCACGACCCGCGACCCTCTACAGTTCCTCATGTTGTGGCGACCCCCAACTCTACAATTATTTTACTTGCTACTTCATAAAGATGTGTTTTCAGGTGAGCTTAGCCGACCCCTGCGTACGGGTCATTCGGCCATCAAAGGGGTCGCGACCCACATGTTGAGACCCGTTGGTATAGAAGCTGACTAAATCACCAAGTATGACGTGCATTACGAGCTGCCAAAATTGATGTTTTTGGTCGGGTGTTTTGTTTCTTTATTGTTTGTTGTTACTGTTTCTTATTTTTATGTTTTTTTTTGTTTTTTTTTTTAGGATTAATGTTAATATTAGATTTAGATAGTCCTGAACAATTCACTTACTGGAAAACTTTTGTCCAATTGGTTTCCGGTTTGAGTAAATTAAAAGCAGGATGGCCCCCAGTGCGATGACTAGGAGAACAATCTCAACAACTAAAGAGGAGAAGTAAGAAAGTCATTTTAAAAAAAAAAACGTATACAAGTTTTCATCCTCAAGGTTTGGTACAACTTCTGGCTTGTTCTTACAACAGCAACACAATAATTGAAAGTACAGGATATGATTTATTTATTTTTACAACTTCAGTTAGTTACATTATGCTTATTCTCATTTATCTATTTTGGGTCACTTATGTTTGTTTTTCTTTTTATTGTTTAATTTTTGGGTTATCTTCTCTTTAATATATTCAGTTAGTTACATTATGCTTATTCTCATTTATCTATTTTGGGTCACTTATGTTTGTTTTTCTTTTTATTGTTTAATTTTTGGGTTATCTTCTCTTTAATATATATATATATATATATATATATATATATATATATATATATATATATATATATATTAAAATTTCGCTGAGATCCCATTGGAACAGCACTGGCTTGAGAAGAACAGAGTCACCCGAAAGACGAACCTGAAACATTGAGGACCACAATCCCTTGACTCGTCGTGTCAGCGTGTTCTTCTTTTGATCTAAGCAACGCCGGCGAAACGGTATCTGAAATAATGGAATGATGAGTGCCCGATGTGACTCTATGTTTGCAATGGTCTCCACCACATCGAAACGTATGGAGAACTGTATTTCAAACGATTAGTTGAGAGTGTAAACATTTTATTTATTTTTAAAATTAAAAATTTACGGAAAAATAGTTTGAAAATTAACTGAATATTTTTTTTGGAACAGTTAACATGATGACAAAAGAAGGGATATTTTTATTTGATGTTTGAGTTTGAACTCACGCAAGGTGGAGATCAATGTATCGAAATTAATTTATTTGTTTTTTTAAATCCTCACTTTTAACATTTAAATCATTTATAACTTATTCTTACGTTTATAAAAATTCAAACCGCTGTGTGTGCGGTAGTTATAACTGTCTTGTATAGGCCCAGGCGTTCAATTTGATTGGGCTCTGCCAGTTACCCTTCGGTGTAACTTTTAAAGGTCTCATTTCATGCTACCGTTAATATTAAACTTTTTTTTTGGGGGGGAAGGTCGTGAAGTCGTGTTCCATTCATTACAATGTACATCAACCAATCCATACCTGCAGGGATAAGCGTAGACGTGTTTTCCTTCCCGTCCTGAGAGTTACCCCCTCGATGATCAGGTGGTAAAAGGTTGCTTGCCGTGTGACCCGAATCTAGATGTAAATTTAATACGCATTTATTAGCATGTCCTACCAAGTAACCCAAGTGCCTGTGTGACGTGATGAGGAAAAGAAAAGCGAAAAAAAAAAAAAAGAAAAGAAAAAAAAAAGAAAAGAAAAAAAACAGAATTTGTAAGAAGGATTTTTTTTTTAAAAAAGGAAAATACAATAAATAAAATGTAAGTGATAAAGTATTTCCTTTGAAATCTAGGTGTTAAAACAAATGTAAAAAAAAAAAAAAAAATAAAAATAAAAAAAAACTAAACAAAAAAAAAAAAAAAAAAAAATTTAAAAAAAAAATTTTTTTTTAAAAAAAAAAAAAAAAAAAAAAAAAAAAAAAAAGAAAAAAAAATTTCATTAAAAAAAAAGGATTAAAAAAAAAAAAAAAAAAAAAAAAAAAATTAAAATTAAAAAAAACTTAACTAAAAAAAAAAAGAACTAAAAGACTCAATTACGACTCCAGGCTGCAAGATAAAATATCAAAAATGAATATTGTGAAACTTCCTGGATGAATAGTAAAAGGAATCCACACGTGAGGCATGGAGAGAAACTATTGACTACCTATGGGACAATCGGGACGGTGATCAAAGATTAAAGAGGTCACAGCCATGCGATCGACTCACCTTCTATCACCGCCAACTGGACACTCGTGTAGCGATCTTGACAGGCCAGCCGACACGCGCGGCTTCTCATGGACGAAACGTTGTGCTGGCCAGTGTCCCTGCACCAGGCCAGAAGTCCAGACTCCGGTACGTCGCGTGGGAAACAAGACTCGCACAGTCCCGAGTGGCAGAACTCGGAACCGCGGCAGCACGCGCCGTACGGCAGACACTTGAACGGCTGTTCTGCCGGACAGTCGATATTTGCTATGTCATTCAGAGACGGGCCTGGGTGGGAAAAAAAATTAATTAGTTCATAATGCGAACTTAAAGAAGCATAAGCTTTAAAGTGCCGCAGGGGTGGGTGAGGGTTGAGGGGGGGAGGGGTTAACCACAGCTCTGCCTCGCCATTCTTTTTCCCATGTGTGTGAGGGCAAAACACCATTATGTTATTCACATTATCCAAAAGTTGTAGCACTCACGCCTCTGTCTTTGCTCTGAAACCCAACCTGAAGTATCGCGTCTGTGATGGCCCATGTTATATAGTGTTGACATATAAAGAAAATTTTCCGAAACGTTAAACTTGCATTGCGATTTTTGGATTCGGATTAGAACGTGTAAAAAATAAAATTCACTAACCGACTTGGGCACAAAGGACAGTTTGAACGGCTAGCAGTGGGAGGACCGATGTCAAGAAGACCACCACTTTGTCCTGCTTCATAGTTGTAACGATAAGGTATAAATATTCAGCTGTGGTTATTAGTCTTTACGATGAGATTCTTCTGTAAATGAAGATGAAAGACCATGAAGACAGTTCATGTTTACATGGACAATATGGTCTTCTTCTCTCTGTCAGACTGACTGTCTCTCTGACTATCTCTCTGACTGTGTGTCTCTCTCTCTCTCTCTCTCTCTCTCTCTCTCTCTCTCTCTCTCTTTCTCTCTCTATCTCTCTCTTCTCTCTTCCTCTCTCTTTCTGTATCTGTTCTGCATGGATCTGTGTTGTGTGTAAGCAAATGAACTAAAGAATAAATCAAACAGGAATACACATACTTTTAAAATGAGGAGTTGATGAGTGGTACCGGGAACATGTGCTGTAAGAGAATCAGCATGAAATCGGGAGCTTACGTGGGTGAGTGAAATGTTGTAAATAACAAATAAATAATTGTATATGTTTACAAAAGAATTGAAATTTAGTCGCATTTACCTCAGTTTGAACAATTTATTATGTCTATAACAACTTAAATTTCAAGGTGGGTTTTTTTTTTTTCATGGTCTTATCCTGCTGTAAACACCACTGGACTATCCATGAATATTCATAAACACAAAATTACGTCTGTGTCTGTGACTATAATCCGACAAATATGAATGGCACAAAAAGCTTTGGCTTTTGTCATGTTACGTCATTCCTCAAATTCATAATCTGGGGTTTTCCCGTAAGTATTTTTGTTTTTTGGTTGGAAAAAAAACAAACCAAAAAAAAAAAAAAAAAACGAGAAAAAGCACAAAAAGCTTTGGCTTTTGTCATGTTACGTCATTCCTCAAATTCATAATCTGGGGTTTTCCCGTAAGTATTTTTGTTTTTTGGTTGGAAAAAAAACAAACCAAAAAAAAAAAAAAAAAAAACGAGAAAATCCATAACATGTTTTTGGACCTTTTTATCTTCCGCTAGACTAAATCAAAAACGTTTCATGTATTGTGCCTCATTGTGTAGATGGCAAAGATAAACATACACATTCACATATAATTCATGAAGACTGTTTAATGTTTTCGACTTATAATTAACACGTTCCCTTAAGTGGAATATTTTTGAAATATTATGTCGGATCCGTCACAGTTTACTGTAACGGGAAATACCGCTAAACTGACAGTAAATTTAATATCTAAAAATAGATCCCAAGACCAGCATCAGCTAACTACCAATAAACCACTTTTTGGAAAAACAACCGAGGTAACTTTCATTTTAAAATCTATGAAATTCAAACACATTTGGTTAACTTTGAAAATACTTTTGTAAGCAATTAAGACATTGAAGCTAATTACCATGAAGCAGTTATGACCCAATGGTTCTGATTGAACTAATAGGTTTAGTACGCAAAGGGGGATGGGGTTTAGTCCCCCTTAGTTCAATCAGAGCCGTCTTGTGACGTTTTTGTTGTTTTTATCTGTTGTTGTTTTGTTAGTTTATTCGTTTTCATTTACCCGTGCCTTCAAATATAATTTTTTCCCATATCAAAACGTTTAAGCTTTAAACAATTCGAGTGCCCCCCCCCCCCACACACACACACTTTGCAGTCGTAGGGAGGGGGGGTAGCGGGGCTCTGGTTCAGATGAGCCAATGAAGTAAACGGCAGATTTAACTAGATTTAGATAATTTTAATGTATTTTTTAAAAATTCATTATAACACTCCTGTTCTTGTTTACTTTGTTTTTACATGTGTTAGTCTTGTTACTCTTCATACTATTATTAATTTTATTGTTGTTGTTCTTCTTCTTGCTCTCGCTATTTTTTTTTTAAAAATGTATTTTGTGTGTTTTTGTTTCATTCTCTTGAAAGGTTGAGCCTAAGCCCAAGCTCTTGAAACCTTGGACAATTATGCGACATGCTAACCTCATCAAGCGGACGTCGCCGTGAAGTAATCCATTGACACAGGCCCGGGGTCGTTGCCCACTTCCCCCACCCTAGGTTCACTAAAGTAAGCTTTAAAGAATAAGTTTCACTAATGTAAGCTTTAAAGAATAAGTTTCACTAATGCAAGGTTTAAAGAATAAGGTTCACTAATGTAAGCTTTAAAGAATACGTTTCACTAATGTAAGCTTTAAAGAATAAGTTTCACTAATGCAAGGTTTAAAGAATAAGGTTCACTAATGTAAGCTTTAAAGAATACGTTTCACTAATGTAAGCTTTAAAGAATAAGGTTCACTAATGCAAGGTTTAAAGAATAAGGTTCACTAATGTAAGCTTTAAAGAATACGTTTCACTGATGTAAGCTTTAAAGAATAGCTGAGAAGAAATATAAATGAAGAGAATCTTGTCTTTTAATGGTATTTGCAAAATTCGGCACTCAAGTAAAAAAAAATGTATATGTTTATTTATTCCAAAAGACAAAAAAAAGAAGGCTTCAGCTGGACACAGTTGGGTAACTCTTGCCACTGAGCTTTGTCAGTAAAGTACCAACAAAAAACACAACAAACCAAAAAACGAAACAAACAACAACAACAAAAACACTCGGAAATGTTTAAATCCGTAAGTGAAACGCACGTTTTATATACAGGACAGTGTATGTTTAAAAATGAAATAATGTAAAAAAAAAAAAATTCCAATATATTCATTTATTGACGTATAAATAAAATTAATTTTATAAATAGTGTAGAAAATAATTATATCACCACGTTGTTAACATTCGCACCTCTTTATGACAGAGAACAACAATATTTGCATTAATATCAACCGCATAATTTTTGTACATTTATTTGTCATATTTACAAAATAAAAAAATATATTTTTTAAAGCTGTCTCCGTTCACTATATTTTGAGCCTCACTTTAAAACATTGAGGAAGGATTTTCATTTTTAAAAATGTAGTGTAATAAATAATTTCAAACATACAACATTCGCACACTCTGCATATAAAAATATGTATGTCATTAATATGAATTATATGTTAACAATAAAGATTTACCTTTGTGCAACATAAGATTGATATGAATCTATGGACTTTTCTTAGCAACAACTTTACCAAGATAGCAAATGATAGTAAAGAATGTTCCATTATTTTTTTTTAAAAATTACACTTAATATTTAAATTAACTCAAACCAACAAACACGAATATTGTAACAAACAATATCATGTGCTCATTTAATAATACTGCAATAAATTAGACCACTCCAACAAATATGCAAACACATAGGGTAAATAACAGATCAATACATTCCATATTATATCCAATCAGTGATTGGTTGGTAATGGTTACAATGATTGCGCGGCATTGCTTTTTTTAGGCTTGATTCAAATAGTTCGATAACAGTTGTGAAAAATAATCTTCTATTTTATTTCAAATTATTTTTTTTTTAAAATAATTTATTTTCTTTGTTCTTCCATAAAGAAATTAATATTCTAACCGTATCAAGTTAATGTCGTATCTACGATACACCCCCCCCCCCCGGGCCACATCTTTCAATGTGTAACATTATTATTTAGTATCCAGCAATGGTTCTTCTTCTCCATTTTGCACTCCGCTGCGTGAAGGGGCTACTCGAATAGAGATATGTGAAGACCGATCATTCTCTTCAAGGATTCCTCCAGTCTCATCTGCTGTTGACTGTTGGTTACCCTCATTGTTCGCGTGGACCTCGATGTCAACTACCAGGTCCTGATGGATTGTGCTGGGCTTGTAACTGGTAGCGTTTGTTGGCGTTTCATCGATGGGGACGCAGGATTTGGTGTCACTGGTGGCGAGACTGTTTAACGCCCTCGCTTTTTTCTTGTCGCTCGCAGCCATGTCGTCAGTGCCATTGGAAAGGTTCGGTGCTGATTGGCGTCTCTGTACATAGGTGTCATCATCTGTACTTTTCTTTCCTTTGCCCTTTAAACATTCATCTAGTTCTTGTAACTGATGTTCCAAGTCTACGGATGACTGTTTGCTTACAGCTGGGGTAAACGCCTCAGAAGGGGCTGCATTTTCGGACTGAGCTGCTGTAAAGTAAACAAGAATAAAGTTGTTGTTTTTTTTTCAAAAAATCGAAATGTAAATAGTTTACAACACATTTATCTAATTCTAAATATTGCAGAGGCGTAGCTAAGGGGGGACAGATGTCCCAGGGCGCCAGACTAGTTAGTGGCGCAAAGATGTGCTTTTATATTATTTTATTGATGAAAATAATTTGAGAGTTGAAAAAAAAGGAGGCTCTTTAAAATTAATCTTGCCCCCCCCCCGGGCACCAAACACTCTAGCTACGCCTCTGAAATGCTGATGATATCCCAGATTGGTTTTTTAAAATAGTTTTAATTCTCTCTCTTGAAGTTTAAAGTTTATTTCAATGCTTTTTTGTGGAATTTGAGTTCACCCTTTAAGACCAACAGCTTGGCACGAGATAAATGGTAGTGAATGAAGCCTAACCTGATATGTACTCTCGTCTCCTTTGTTTTCTGAGTCTGCAGATGATGTAGAGTAGACCGACGATTATAAGCAGGCTGACTACCAGACATGCAGTTAGCCCTACAGTTACAGCCATCAGGTCTGAAACGGACAAATAGATGTGTTGTTGTGTTTCTGTTTTAATGTTTGCCCCTTTTATTGTCATAGTTTTTCATTTCATACAAAAGGTGCATTTTTTTTTTGTGGGTTTTTTTTGTTTAAAGCATAAAAATAGTTCTCAAATGAATAGAACGGGAACAGTCAAATATCATTTTTAAATATATGCCAATATTATTATTTTATTGATCCAAATAAATGGATACTTTAAAAAAATAATTACAATATACAAATTCATTTTCAGTACATAATTAGTTATTCTATTAAAGAAAAAAAAATTTAATCAGAACAACTCCAATGCAATACATCTAAAATTATTTTTCAAGAAAAAAAAAAAAGGCCAATACTAATAGAACTCCACCAACCCCCCCCCCACCCCAACCCCTGATGACGGTAATGACTTTAAGAGTGATCATTCAGATCATATTGTAAAGCCAGCCAACTCCAAGACAATGCAACTTTGGTTTTAGTTTAGTTTCAGGGTGGACTGTGTTAACGCGGTGTCAAGGTTTAGTCTAAAATATAATATCTAATTATTTTAATNAAAAAAAAAAAAAAAAAAAAAAAAAAAAAAGAAAAAAAAAAAAAAAAAAAAAAAAAAAAAAAAAAAAAAAAAAAAAAAAAAAAAAAAAAAAAAAAAAAAAAAAAAAAAAAAAAAAAAAAAAAAAAAAGAAGAAAAAAAACAAACAAAAAACAGGTTTGGGGTGGGGGCGAAGGGGGTCACTCACCCCGGGTGCCAATCTTTAGAGGACGCCTAACGCGTCATTTTATTTTCATGCTAAATATGTGTATTAAAATATACTTTTTTTTTTCTGGGAACAGGGGTCCTAAACTCAAGCATTGCCCGTGGGCATCTTTTTTTGGCTTGCCCCGGGCCTGGGCTTTTTAATAAATCATATCTTCATTTATCATTTCTCAAGCTCAATCACCGTTTGTTATGTTTTCAAGGGAGGATTTCTCAGGTCGGTTTTCAAACATAAAACAGAAAAAGAGATCTTTGTTTTAGGGTTTAAAAGAATCGTTGAGTCCTTTTGTTTGTTTACTGAATTTATTTTTTTTTACTAAGAATACGTATTGAGTTTGAGCTTGGACTAGAACAGCATTTACGCTGCTGTGGCGTAGCTAGGTTTAGTGCCACCGCTCCCCCCTGGGGGGGGTGGCCGGCCAAGAGTTTGGCCACCTGGGGGGGGGGGTGGCCGGCCAAGAGTTTGGCCGCCCCACTTCCATGAAAGAACTCTGCAGGTGGTCCACAATGCCCCCCCTCCATATAAGCAAAAAAATGCTTCCTTTGTGACAGTGGTCACATATTTTACGACATTTGTTCAATATTTTTTTTATGGAAAAAGGTGTGTGTGGGGGGGGGGGGGAAAAAAATGGGTAGGGGGGGGTACCCTAGTATTTTCTCCATTTCGAATTGCATCTCTAGACACCAATAGAAAGTTGGTCAAAACACCAAGACGAATTTTGTTTAAACCATTTTTTAGAAAGTTCAAGACGTAACAAAGACCAAAGAGCAGATCACTCACCGTAAATCAGCTGGGTGGTGTTGAAAACGTCCTGACACGCCAACCGGCAGCCGTCGTTCCTCATCAAGGCGACGTCAAACTGCCCCTTCTCCCGGCACCAGTCCAGCAGCGCCCCGTCCTCGACGCCGCGCGGGAAACACGACTCGCACATCCCCGAGTAGCAGAACTCGGAGCCCCTGCAGCACGCTCCGTAGGGCAGGCATTTGAAGGGCCGGTCGGAAGGACAATGAAAGGACACTAAATCGTTCAGTGTCGGTCCTGGAAGAAGAATTATTATTTTACTTTAACAATGACAACGAAGAAGAGAATCGACATAAAACTTAATGGAAACCCACATAAAAGTTTGTTGAACGTTGTACGTCCAGGAATGTTACAAATTTAGTTTGAAATATAAACTTATTTGTTCATACATTGGACTTGGGTTTGCGTGGATATAAAAAAAAAAAATAATAATTACGCAGTTCGTTCTAAATGAAATTTGTTAAAAGGAGATTTATTTATTTCTTTTTTTGTTTAATTCCTTTTTTTACGGAAGGTGCGTATGAGAAGTGGGTAAAATGTATAAACATTTTAATAAAATTTACTTTTATTGTTGTTTTTTTTTTTTACGATGGGTGTGCGATATGATGGGTTGCGCATGGGCAGTGTACATGTTTGTCACATACATGACTGTGTGGGGTACCTGATGGTGCGCATGATGTTGTTGTTGTTGTGGCTTACCTGATGGTGCGCATGTTGTTGCTGTTGTGGCTTACCTGATGGTGCGCATGTTGTTGTTGTTGTGGCTTACCTGATGGTGCGCATGTTGTTGTTGTTGTTGTGGCTTACCTGATGGTGCGCATGATGATGTTGTTGTTGTTGTGGCTTACCTGATGGTGCGCAAGTTGTTGTTGAGATGAAGAATGCGGCGAGGAACAGTCCGAGGAGATTGGCGAGCATTTTTGTAGCAATGTGTACGTTCATGGCCACGAGAAAACTTGTTTGGTTGATTCACTTTGTGACGTCGTTACCAATGTTCTGAAATAAAAGAAAAATTATAATATAAAATAAAAAAATTATTTAATCCTAGCTCAATATATTAAACACTTTTAAAGGATAAATAAGACAGCACAGCCTCTGTAAAAAGTGTAATATTATAGATGTCTTATTTATTGATTCTGAAGCTGACGATAGCGTGCGTGCGTGCGTGCGTGCGTGCGTTTTTTGTGCATGTTAAAAATTATCCTTTTAAATAAAAATAAAAAAATGTCATTCGTTTATTTTGAGCAAACTTCCGCTTAGGAACGAATTTCCTTCTGAACGAATTTCCGTTCTAATTAATTTATGCTCGGATCCAACGCCGACCAAACAATATTCGTTCGATTAAAATTTCTTTCGATCAAATTTCCGGGAATACTATTAAAGACCACTGTAAATAGATACATGAACATTGCACTTAACCACATGTTAAGAACAGCTGTGCAAAGAAAGATTCATGAGCAACCAAGGTGGTTACAGATTAAGAACCATTGTGCATGCATAGATACATCAACGTTCAATTTAGTCACATATTAAGAACCACTGTATATAGAAACATGAACATCAAAGATGGCCACATATTAAGAACCACTGTATATAGATACATGAACGTCCAAAGTGACAACAAATTAAGAACCATAGATACATGAACGTCCAAAATGACAACAGATTAAGAACCACTGTTTTTTTTTTCATAAATGTATTTTTATTTTAATGTCATGATCATGTCTCTTTTGATAATATTTTTATGTACAGCGCGTTTGGCCCAGCCCTAGGCTGGGGTCCCGCGCTATATAAGACCACTTATTATTATTATTATTTTATAGATACATGAGCTTATCAGGTGGCCACAGATTAAGAACCACTGTATATAGATATATGAACTCCAAAGTGGCCACGGGTTAAGAACCACTGTATATAGATGCATCTATCAATGGTGTTTTGTGCATCTATGACGTAAACACTTCAGTTGGTGTTACCTAAAAATACGTAACATCAATTTTGACTGGAGTAATCACCCCCATTTAAAAAAAAAAAAAACGAATTTTATTGAAAATGACGAAATTTAAAAAAAAAATACACCAGTCAGTTTATTTAATTTTTTGATTGCCTAATTACTATTACTGGTATGTTTGAATTATTTGTTTATTTTTTTTTTTTTTTTTATAATCACCCCCATTTAAAAAAAAAAAACGAATTTTATTGAAAATGACGAAATTTAAAAAAAAAATACACCAGTCAGCTTATTTAATTTTTTGATTGCCTAAGTACTATGACTGGCATGTCTGAATTATTGGTTTAATTTTTTTTTTTTCTTTTAACTTTGACTGTGGCTTTATACTATTGATTATAAAAAAAAAAAATCATCTTCATTTATAGTAAATAATTTTGTCTTATTTAATCACGAAAAACACATATTTTTACTAAACTAAATCAATTTATAAATAAAACTTACTTTTTCAATAGGCAAACACAGTGTTGTCTCGAGTAGGCCTATGTTCTGAATGACGAAATATAACGTGACACTGTCAACTGTCAGGCAGCCGTGGGTGGGGAATTCCCGCGCTGACTTATGGTTTACCCGATTGCACCACGATGATGCTAAAGATAGATAGTTACATAATGTTAGTGAAGGGTGAACAAATCATGAACTGGAAAAAACGGGACACACCCAAGGAGCGTTTTGGAGGTCCGGGGGCCTCCGACGGAAAGTTTTTTATTGAAATATGCTCATTATAACAATTTTGAGACCTTGAAATCTTTTTAAATGAACCTTCCCTTTTGTAATTTAATTCGAACACTGAGGCATTTCATAAACGAAGACAATACTTTTGCAGTTAATACTTACTATCTATCTATCTATCTATCTATCTATCTATCTATCTATCTATCTATCTATCTATCTATCTATCTATCTATCTATCTATCTATCTATCTATCTATCTATCTATCTATCTATCTATCTATCTATCTA